CCTCTGCGGTGGGTCGTTGGTCCCTCTGCGGTGGGTCGTTGGTCCCTATGCGGTGGGTCGTTGGTCCCTCTGCGGGGGTCGTTGGTCCCTCTGCGGCGGGTCGTTGGTCCCTCTGTGGCGGGTCATTGGTCCCTCTGCAGAGGCTCTTTTGTCCCTCTGACCAAGGACCATTTATTTAGCAAATATGTAAATACTAGAACTATTACAAGGAGTAAAACATATTTCTTCTAAGTATGAAACAATTTTTCCACAATTAAAAAAATCATAAAGCCTGCATAGTTCATTGTTTTAGTTTTTTAATGGCCAAAAGCTATTTTATTTTATTCCTTCTTTACAGGAATCTCTTATTTTTTGTCTTAAAATGTAAAAAAAAAAAAAAAAAAATCAATAAACTTAGATTATCTTTTGATATTTTCCGCTTTATAATCATCCCTATGGCCAGAAAAGCGGTCTGCGGGCCACCAGTTGAGAATCACAGTTGTAGCAGGTTTTGTGGCTCCGGACACGTTTTCTTTAGTGAACGAAGGGGCAGAAATGGCTCTTTCGTTCGTAAAGGTCCCTGGTCTAATCTGCAATTTGCACGTCTACAGTTAGTTTGGCCAATCTGATGGACCTTCACTGCTTTTGATGTTGGTAGTTGGTAGGATGTTAAAAGACTGACGGAGTCCTTATCACTACTTATAAATGCATGACTCCAGGATATAATCCAATACCAGAGGACCATTACACTCTGCAGGAAGAACCAAGTTATGTTGATGTGATTTCACCGACCTTTATCAAACCTCAACAGTCTCGAAAAACAGAGAAGTTCCAAACGAGCAAAACAGCTCGATGTGTTTGGAAATGAAAAGTCCACAACACCAAGAACTAATTTATGTTGTCATAAAGCTTGTAGAGACTGGTGGAACATTTAGCGTGCTCAGTAAATCACACATGATTCACCAACTAAGAACCTACTGAAATGCAAAAGTTGTAGTTTTTACAAATCACACATAAAGTAAAATAATTATGGACTAGACTTCATTTACTTTGTGGTGCAGGTAGATTTGATCAAGACTGACTGGAGTCCAAAGGTTGCAACACAGAAACATCCCTGACTTTATTTTATTTTGAAAAATTCTTCAGTGTTACAAGAACAAACAGGTTGAGGAGATGTGCCAGTTCAGGATTGTGCTTGCAGAGAAGCTCACCTGGAAAACGTTCTCTGTTGTTCTGCGAATGATGCAAACCCACAGAGTTCAGTGGGTCTTTGATGGGAACACACTTTTAACGTGTTTCAGTGTGAAAATAAAGCGGCAAACGTTCAATATTCTAGTGGCATTCTGCAGTTTCTGTACGTTAATAAACCCTCCAGCTGTCCTTGGGTCAAAAGTACCTCATCATGGGTTGTTTTGACCCAAGGGCAGCAATAGAGTTTAGCTGACCTACCATAATTATCTGACAGTGTCTTTTCATTTGAAGCTCAAACCTATGAGAAGTGTTGTAGAGGATGAATGTTCTCTCATTGGTCCCGGCTGTTTTTCCCCTTCTTTGTAGGAAAAGCAACTTTGGAGCTCGGAGCTACCTGGATCCATGGCGCCAACGGGAACCCGGTGTACCACCTGGCGGAGGAAAGCGGGTTGCTGGAGCACACCACGGATGGAGAGAGGAGCATGGGGCGCATCAGCCTGTACACCAAGAACGGCGTGGCTCACTACCAGACCAATGTGGGCAGAAGGATCCCCAAGGACCTGGTGGAGGAGTTCAGCGACGTGTACAACGAGGTGAGGGGCACGCACGAGCGCACGGACACGGACAGGTGCAGCGGCGCCTATGCAGAACAGCCAACGTCCCGGGTGGCCGGTCCCTCCTGAACTTGGAGGCCTAATCTCTAGACTTCTATGTTTCCATCAGTGTGGGAATTAAAAAAAACGTAAAGAACGATGGTAACCTCGTGCAAGGAGAGCGATATAAACGATGAATACGTCATGCTGAGGAAAAGGATGTTAAATCTGATAACAGACAGCAGAACATTGATCAAAGGTAAATGAATAAGTGCAAAAGTGACAAAGCAGAGTGAATCTTTTTTTCCACTCCTCTTGTTTCCTTTGCTCATTTCAAGCATGATATATTTTAAGTAGGTCACGTCTGGAACAGCAGCAGAAAGAAGCTTCACTGATGTCATCTAGATTGTTTTAATGCTCGGACATCTTGGTTTGCTTTTCTCATTCAGCGTTGCTTGAATTAGTTTAAAATTAAAAGCCCATTTTTTGTTTGTTAACAGAATGTCTTCATTTGCTGACAAAGATTTTATTATGACGTATTTATGAAAGCCGGCTCAGTGTGGAGCGGGCGGGGGGGACGCCACCGGGGGAGTGGAGGTGGGTGAAGTGCCTCATTGTTCAGAGAGCCGAGATCACACATACCGTCAGGGTGAAACGATTTTGTTAAATCTTTGACCTGGAAGTGTTTCTGTTTTCTCCAAGTCATCAGGTTAATTAGTTGGTTAGTTTGGTGTATTTCTTAGTTTACATATATCTTAGATCGTCAGTTCTGTTTCCTTTACAATTTATGTTTTTGCTATTGTTGGATGTAACTGGGACCCTGTGTACACAATTTCATTCCACCTCATGTACCACATGTGTGACAATAAAGAACCTTGACTTTAAAACCATTTTATTTTTACAATCGCAACAGCATTATTTATAAAATGTCAGAAAACTAAAGACAGTCAAAGGTTGGAAATAACTCACAACCCTTAGCACCTTATTTACTGCCATCACAGAACAGATTTTTATGTCAAAAGCATTTTGACTGAGTTCTTAATAAACCATTGTCATTTGTACCAGTCCTGACTGTTTAGTTCTTCATCATCAGCAGATCACAGGGGCCACAGTAGCTCAGTGGTCAGAGCTGTGGTCTTGTATTAGTGAGGCAGCAGGTTCGAGCCCAGGTTGCGTCAGGAGGGAAGCTCAGTATGAACATCTGGTGTCAGATGTTTCATGGGTCTTCTCAGAGGCAGCTGTGTTTACAACTACAGTTGGATTCATAGGTTTTTGTGATAAAATAAGTCAAACTGTCGACTACAGTATGTTTTGTTGGCATAAACAGAGTGAGCTTCACCCCGCTGCCAGCCCATGTGTTCCTCCTGCTGCCAGCTGTGAACCTGGGATTTGGGTAATTCACTGAACAGGACCACCTTGGTTTACTAGAAGCTGAGGCAGTGTGGCGTCACGCTGTGAGCTGTGCTCTCCTGAAAAATGTTGATGCATAACTGATGTTGTCTCAACACTGTTCCCTGGAAAAGTGTGTCAGTGGCTTTGGATCACGGCCCAGCCCGTGTCTGATCCTGTCAGGGATGACGCATTGTTTTCTTACGTACCCTGAATCAGGCGTTGGACTTCAGGCTGTTGGCACCGTTTCCTTTTGTCCATATGAGCTTTAGAGAGATCTGTTCTAAACTGAATCAAACTTTTTTCTTTTTGGTCCCACTTTCATCGTCCTCCTTCTTTACATCTTTCTTCTTCTTCTCTTGCGCTGTGTCCTCCTTCAGGTCTACGAGCTGACTCAGGAGTTTTTCCAGAGCGGGAAGCCTGTTTGTGCCGAGAGCCAGAACAGCGTTGGCGTTTTTACTCGGGACTTGGTGCGCAAGAGGATCACGTTGGACCCCGACGATTCTGAAAGCATCAAGAAGATCAAACTGTCGATGCTTCAGCAGTACCTCAAGGTCGGTGCGCCCTTCACATCCATCTGAGGGAGGGACAAGGATACACATGAAACATGTAAATCCTGCTGTGTGGGTGGCCTCAGCTGAAACTTTCTAACCAGATTTTTATCAGAGTAGACTTGGAACAAACTCAAGGTCTTTGCACTCCCCCTCCTTAGTCACGCAGGGACCTTCAGAAAACAAAGCATGTTATGAAACATGTTAGGTGGAAGTGTGTTGGCCTGTTTACAGCTGCATGTTTTCAAATGGCTCTGAACAGACCCTTTAGTCCGGCAGGTTGTTCATGGCTGTAAATGAAGATTGCAGACATCATGTACAAACTTTTATTGGTGCTACAGAATGAAGGTAGAAGGTTTGAGCTCTGCTGGCATGAGGGATCTAAGGATTTGAACATTTCAACAGCTCAGTCAGGTCATCTGGACGGTTTCTTTTTTTTGTTGAGACATTTCATCCTTCATCCAAAGGACTTCATCAGTCCGAGGAGCCACCAACAAACTCAGTCCCACAAGCAGCAAACTCACATTGTAGACCAACCAGTTTGCTGGTGATAAGATGGTTTCTGGGACCCGCCCTCTCCCCTGTCAACTCCTCTGAGGCAGCCATAACCAAAGTGGTTCAAAACATCAAAGTTCATGCTCAATAATCCAGGTAGAAAATCCAACAAAGGTCAGATTTTGAATTGTTGTTGCTGGATTGTTGAGCATGAACTTTGATGTTTTGAACCACTTTGGCTATGGCTGCCTCAGAGGAGTTGACGGGGGAGAGGGTGGCTCCAGAAACCATCTTATCACCAGCAAACTGGTTGGTCCACTATGTGGGTGTGCTGCTTGTGGGACCGAGTTTGTTGTGGCTCCTCGGACTGATGAAGTCCTTTGGATGAAGGATGAAATGTCTCAACAAAATAAGAAACCATCCAGAGGACCTGACTTAACTTTGTTGGATTTTTTTACCTGAATTATTGAGCATGAACTTTGATGTTTCAATGCCTGTTAGTTGTGGTGTTTCTTGCTGATGTCAGCTGGAACTGACGTGTGCTGATGTGGTTTGTGTTAAAGGTGGAGAGTTGTGAAAGCAGCTCTGCCAGCATGGATGAGGTGTCTCTGAGCGAGTTTGGAGAGTGGACCGAGATTCCTGGAGCCCACTACGTCATTCCTGAAGGTTTTATGAAGATTGTGAACCTCCTGGCCCAGGACATCCCGTCCCAAACCATCAGCCTTTGCAAACCAGTTCGCAGCATCCACTGGAACTACTCAGCCCATCATCGGGAGCTCATTGCTAAGAGCAACCACACCGAGCAGCTCAGAAACCACAACAACAACAACCACGGCGGCCAGCCTCACGAGGACCTTCTGCTTCTGGGTCGCCCCATCTGCGTGGAGTGTGAAGACGAGGAGTGGATCATGGCTGACCATGTGATCGTGACGGCTTCACTGGGCGTCCTGAAGCAGAACCACGCAGCCATGTTCTCCCCACCGCTTCCCGAAGACAAGGTGCTCGCCATCGAGAAGCTGGGCATCAGCACCACTGACAAGATATTCCTAGAGTTCGAGGAGCCCTTCTGGAGCCCCGAGTGCAACAGCATCCAGTTTGTGTGGGAGGACGAGGCCCAACTGGAGCAACTGGCCTACCCCGAGGAGCTGTGGTACAAGAAGATCTGCAGCTTCGACGTGCTCTACCCGCCCGAGCGCTACGGCTACATGCTGAGCGGCTGGATCTGTGGCCAGGAGGCGCTCTACATGGAGCGCTGCGACGACGAAACGGTGGCTGAAACCTGCACGGAGCTGCTCAGGCGCTTCACAGGTCAGAGCGAGCACACACAGGCTCACAGAAACTAATGCAACCTCTCACTTTTCTACACTCTGTGACAGAAAACTAGTTCATCCTTGAGGGATCTAAGACTGACGAAATGACCGTGGATGGGTGAGGGAGCCCTGCTGCTCCGTGACTCATACAAAACGAGTCCTTGTTGTCACAGAAAGCAGCGACGCCTCATCAGCTGCTCAAAACATAAGGTAATAAAGGTCCAACGGCTGAATGACTCGGGTGTGTTTTTGTGCTCACTGAGCAGCAGCTCGTTGTTCTGGTGTCACCACAAAAACAGAATCAAGGAGAAGTCCTGATGCTGTTTTAGACATTAGACCCTTTTACTGACGTCTCTTTCCTTCTGTCAGACACAGGAGGAATGAGACCTCCGTTTCATAGGCCTGCCACAAGTTATTCCTAAAAATATATAATTTGCATTAAAGAGTTTAACCCGACATGTTTTCTTCGAGGTGACTCGTTCACCGTTCAGCTGCAGATCAGGAAGGAAGTGCGCTTCAGAAGCAGCTCACATCGTGAGCACAGAGACTGTCACTTCATGACGTGGTCATTGAACTTCCTGTGTATCCAGAATGTGAACGACTCTGAGGAAGACACTCACATTCCTCCTTTAGGTTGGTGCAGTCTAATCTCCTCCATCTTTTGACTGCAGCTCAGGGTAAATCACTGTGAGTCCTCAGTCCAGATTCAAATATTTAAAGCTTTCACTGAGTTGTCTTAAATAAATTCCCCACTGGTTAAGCAGGGAGTTGAGATGATTCCTACTTAGTTGAATATTTGTAGCATTAGGATGTGAAAGTACAACAACATTGCTGTATCAAAGCTCTGCTTTGGGCTATTCTTTGCAGCTGATTTTAGGGGACTTTCTTCTGCACAACGTGTCTTTGTAGATTGTTGCAGACACACGAGTTATCCTGAATGTTTAAGCGAGCCTTCGATATTTAGATAGCTCCCAAGAGCACACAGTAAATCATCCAGCAAACTGTTAGACATGACGGTTTCTCACATATTTAGTTTCTTTATCTTTTAATTTGACTGAATACTCTGTTCAGACTCGTCTTTTAGAAAGAATCGTCTCTGTGAGTCATGTGGATAATAAACGTCTGCAGTGGGAATACAAAAGATGAGTACCAGCCGGGCCATGGTTCTCTTGTCGTCTGTCTATACAGTCTTTACCTGCTTGTTCCTGTGCAGGCTCATCTGAAACTTGTCTGCTAATTCTTCTTCTTTCGGCTGCTCCCTGCATCAGGGGTCGCCACAGCGAACTAAGTCGCACAAAGACTGGGCAATTGTTTTTACGCCGGATGCCCTTCCTGGCACAAACACAGACCACCGAGCTACCACAGCCCTCTGTGTGGAGCAGAGTGCTGAAGTCTAGGGCACCCAGAGGAGCAGATGGTGGGGGTTAAAGACCTTGCTCAAGGGCCCAGAGTGGGGCAAATGAGGGTGAAGACAGGTGTGGGTGCTTCACCTATTCCACCCACATTTTTTATGTTTTCGGTACTGGGAGTTGATCCGGCGATCTTCCGCTCACAGGCCCACCTTGTCTAACCTCTGCGCCACTACTCCCCGTAACTTGTCTGCTAATTATTTGATCTATTTCACGTTTTTATTGAAAAAAAGTTTTACTTTACTCACCCCGAGTCCTGCAACTGACACCCCCCCACCCCCCCAATCTGATGAAACAGAGGTGTGTTGCTGCTAATCCTGCTAGCCGGTCCGATGGATCAGCGGAGAGACAGATGAACCCATTCTGTTAGTAAAGCAGAGCTCATCTGTGACCCTAGTTTCCATTTTATAGTCCTTTCAAAATAAACCGTGATGGCAGAAAGATGCTGCATGGATGGTGGTGGGGGGGCCTCCAAATTGTTTCACTTATTTTCTGGGCCGTATATGTTCTGTCAAATAATGCACCCCGACAGGACAAACAACATTTGCCTATGTTAAACAACAAAACAAGCAGTCGAGCTAGTTCTAAAAAAGTTAAGTCTGGTCCTCTGGACGTGCAAAAAACAAAAACAAAAAAAAAGTAGAACGTTTCGTCTTTCATCCGAAAGACTTCTTCAGCCTGTCTCAGTCGAGATGGTTGTTAATTGTTAGACTTTGTCCTTTATAACTGGACATCAGTGGCCATCTTTTGTCAGGAGCTGGTACCCACCTGTACACCTGTCCATCACAGGGTCACATGGGGACAAACAGGACATTGTTGCTCTCATGCACACCTGGGGACAGTTAAGTCAGCCTAACGTGCACGTGTTAGGGGTGTGGGAGGAAGCACCTGGAGGGAACACAGGTAGAACATGTAAACTCACACAGGAAGGCTCCAAGCAGGAGTCAAACCTGCAACCTTCTTGCTGCGAGGCGACGGTGCTGATGGATTTCTGCACGGCTTGTTCAAAGAACTTTTAGACAAATAGAAAAGCAGGATATTTTCCTCTGGCAAAAAACAAACAAACAAACAAAAAAACACTGACAGGTCAGATTTTCTTATGAAACAAAGGCCAAAGTTTTTGAAGTTACACAAAACACAAAACATAAATAAAACAAACATTTATGTTTATATAAAACATAAAACGATCTACATTTAAAGAGTCTGTTTGTTTACTTTTGTTCAATTTTTTTAAGATTGAGTTGTTTTGAGATGGCAGAAATGCTCTTTATTTAGCTTAATATCTGGTCAAAGTTTTTACATTTTCTCTCACATTGATGATGCTCTGGAGGTAAGACCCTGACTCCTCAGAACTCCTCAGAACTCCTCAGAACCCTGCGTCAACACGTCAGGGCTTTTTCTTTTGCCCTTCAGTATCTGTAACTCTTGTCCCTCCTGTCGTCCGTCTCCAGGGAACCCTGACATTCCAAAGCCCAGACGGATCCTGCGCTCGTCCTGGGGCAGCAACCCGTACATCCGAGGCTCCTACTCTTTCACCAGAGTCGGGTCCAGTGGTGCTGACTGTGAAAGGCTGGCCATGCCACTGCCGTACGCCAACAGCACCAAGGCTCCAGTAAGAACGACCTCACACCAGATCTGTTTCCTCTAAAACCACATTTTACACGGCCCTCATTTACAATGACGACCTGGCAAAGATGGCTGCCACAGCGAATCCACTTTAGCCAACACATAAAGAACTACAACTCAGTGAGCTTGACCGACATGGAGCTAAAATTTGGTGTGCTAGTAGCTGAGGGTTGTTCACAGCTCATATTCTGAGCGCTAACAGATCACACATAACATCGTTTACAGGGTTCAACCAGAACGACTCCATCACTTCAAGGTAATCTTAGTTCCACGCTCTGGTCGAAAAGGCAGCGGGCGATATGCATCCCTCTGACAAACACGGTGCGTTTGAACGCTGCAGTTTCATCACCACTGCAGGACAGTCAGAGCGCTCAGCTGGTGTCGGGAGGCAAATAGAAACTGATTACAGGCCCGAAGGCTACGCATGAAACCTGAGGACTGTGGGTGAAGGGCACAGGTGTGTTTGGTGTGTGTGTGTGTGTGTGTGTACTTTGTACATACTTGACTGCTGAAGGAACAGTCTGATCTCGCTGCTGGGAGTCCTTCAGAAATAAAACAAGCCCTCAGGATGTTTTCTCCATGAGGAACATGGAACAATGCTGCAGGAGACACTGGATGGCGTGTTTTTCTGGTCTCATCTCACATATCTTCTCTCCCCCCCCCCCCCCCCCCCCCCCCACCCCCTCCCCGCTGTGCCTCAGCCCCTGCAGGTTCTGTTTGCTGGAGAGTCCACCCACAGAAAGTACTACTCCACCACACACGGTGCCCTGCTGTCAGGGCAGAGGGAGGCCACTCGCCTCACGGAGATGTACCAGGACGTACACAGAGCGCAGACCACGAAGCCTACAGTCTAACCCCGTCCAGCCTCCGACTGGAGACTAAAAGAGTCCACACGTTGAGCTAAAAGCTTCTGTCGTTCTCATTAGGGGTTACTTTAAAAGCATAGCTTGGGCATTTTCACTCTGACAACTAATGAATATTATTTTAATTGTACTGTAGATCTGAATCACGTTAAGTTTTAACTGAGACGTCGAAACGTTGCCAACGTTGGTGCTGTTAGTTCCTGTCTTTGTCATTCTGCCATCATGTTTTGTCTTTTAAATCAGTACGTTTATAAGTTTATAACATTTACTTGTTTTTGTAAGTGCCTTCTGTACGTAACACCATGTTACTTCAAAATATTGGAAAGTCTAAACTCAAATTGTGAAGATTTTAACAAATAAAAGGTTTATGATCATAAAGCAGATGTTGATGTTTCTGAAAACAGTAAAGGTTTTAATGTTTAACTGTTGAAGGACAGAGCATCGAATCTTCTCATTTATGACTGCAACTGCTGAGGGTGCGCAATCTTTGGAGAGTTATGTGTTAATGTGAATGCAACACGAGCCCGACGGCATGAATTAACCTCTGGAAATACTCTGAACACTTTACCCAGCTTATCATTCATCACGTTGTTTGGTAACATTTTACCTCCTGACGTTTAAACTCGTGGTTTTACATTCAACACATCAGAATATTAAAACAGAACCGACAATGTGCATAAGAGAAGAAAAAGATGCAACAATACCACAAAAGAGATAAACTATGTATTTTTGACATTTTTTTGTTTTACAACAACAATAAAAGGACTAATCTGAGCTGTGATGATGTGCAGAGGACAAAAACAAAGTGAAACTCATATCCTTCCCAATGGTTTATTTGTGTCTGATTAGGTTCACTGATCCGGTACGAAGAAAAAAAAAATTATTCTTAAAGGATGGAGAGTTTTATACTTCAGAGAAAATATTTGTGGAAAAACAAAAACCCACTAAAGTCATTTGAGTGAACTTGGTAGTTAATGTGAAAACTGTTTTTGAATTCTTATCTGAGCTTAGTTATAAAGTCTGATAGTGGAAAGGAATGCCTATCACCCGCTGCCCTGCAGGTTTAAACCAAGATCTGTTTGAGCTCAAAGTCTGGCATGGGGGTTGATTCAACACATAAGATAACTTTATTTATACAGAGGACAAAATACCAACAACAAAAACAAAAAAAACTTTATGCACTGAAAAAATACAGCGATCTGAATGTCTGCTGAAATGAGCCGAAGTCAAAACAAGAAGAGAAGCTAAAAACAGCTACATTTACAGAATTTTTACAGAACAGCTAAATACAGGTCCCTCTTGTAAATGAGTCCTCGTGGCTCAACGAGGCTAGCCTGTATAAAGGTTGAATGAAAGCAATTGCTGAAAAACTAAGTCGAATTGTTGCTAAAATTGAGAAACTTGCGAACAGCAAACAATATTAAAACTATAAGAAAAAAGGAGAACCTTATGTGAAAGCTAAAAAGACTGAAAGAAAACAGGCAGAATGCTGAAGTTTGAGAATTAAGATTTTGACAGAACTCAATGTGTTTTAAAAAATCACACCATCCTTCCTACTATTGCCTCTGAATTCCATGTTCAGATGAGACAACTTTAAAAAAAATCACTAGAACCTGATTTATGTTTGAACTGTTTTTGTCCTGTTGAACTCTGAATTGTCAAAAATAATAGCTTCATCCATAACATCCACATGTCTGCTAGATCCCATCCCAACCAGATTGTTTAGAGGCATTTCTCCTAATACACACATTTTGGATCTGCCTAATTTGTGAATGGTTATGTACCATAGTACTTTACGGTTGCTGCTTAAGAAACCTGATCTTGATTCAGGAATTCTGGCCAATGATAGTCTTATATCAAATCTAACACTCATGTAAAAAATTATTGAGAAAATAGTTGCAAATCAATTATGTGAACATCTGACCAGAAATAATGAGTTTGAAGAGTTTCAGTCAGGGTTTAGAGCTTATCATAGCACATAAACAGCACTAGTAAAAGTCACTAATGATATTCTCATGGCCTCTGACAATGAACAGGTGTCTACACTGGTCCTGTGAGACCTCAGTGCTGCATTTGATACAGTTGATCACAATATTCTACTACATAGGTTTGAATATGACATTGGGATTACAGGAACTGCTCTAAATTGGTTTAAATCATATTTATTTGATAGACTCCAGTTTGTAAATGTATTTTTTTTTCATACACCAAAGTTAGTCATGGAGTTCCTCAGGGTTCAGTGCTTGGACTAATACATTTTACTTTATATATTTTTTTTATTTATTTTTTTTTCATTTAGCCTTTATTTATCCAGGTTAGTCTCATTGAGCCACGAGAACTCATTTTCAAGAGAGACCTGTTTAGGGAGCACATGGTGGGGGTTAAGGACCTTGCTCATGGGCCCAGAGTGGGGCGAATGAGGGTGGGGGCATGTGGGTGTTTCACCTACCCCACCCACAATTTTGATGTTGTCGGGGCCGGGGCGTGAACCGGCGATCTTCGGATCACAAGCCCACCTCTCTAACCTCTGCGTCACCACTCCCCCATATGCTTCCATTAAGTAAAGTTATTAAACAGCATGGAACACATTTTCATGGTTATGCTGATGATATATTTGTCCATGAAACCTAATGAATCCAATTAGTTACTTAGATTACAAGCATTATTCAAATTCAGAATAGAGTCCAAAATTTTACTTCTAACCTACAAAGCTCTCAACAACCTAGCTCCATATTATATTATATATATTATTGCTCCTTACTTTCCTAACAGAGCACTTGCTCTCAGACTGCAGGTTTACTTGTGGTTCCTATAGAGTTTCCAAAAGTAGAATGGGAGGCAGGGCTTTCAGTTATCAGACTCCTCTCTTGTGGAGCCAACTTCCAGTTTTTGTCTGTGAGGCTGACACATTGCCTACTTTTAAGATTAGGCTTAAGTTCTTCCATTTTGATAAATCCTAAAGTTAAGGTCGGCTTGGGCTTCCTGAGCTGTCCCTTAGTTATGCTGCTATAAGCTTAGACTGCTGGAGGACAAACTGACCACATTTCCTCACTCTGCTGCTGTCTTTCCTTGCTCTACTCTACCTGTTTGTTTTGTATTGTAATTATTTCTATCTTAACATGTTTTTTGTCTTTCCTCCAATAGAAAGTAAACTTGGACATTAGCCATTCTGTGTTTGTTTGTTTGTTTGTCCTTCCTGTCCTCTCAAACCCAGCATGTCAAAGCAGATGGCCGCTTGTCCTGAACCTGGTTCTGCTGGAGGTTTATTCCTGTAAAGTGAGAGTTTTTTCCTTTCCACTGTCTCCTTTGTGCTTGCTCAGGATGGGAAACTGTGATGAAATGAAGATTCAATGCAATCTGCTGGCGTCATTCCTTAGATAACTTTTACTAATGGACTTTTGTATGTATGTGAATGTTTTTGAACAGTGCTCAGAGACAACTTCTGTTGTGACTTGGAGCTATAGAAATAAATTAAATTGAGTGAATTAAGTATAAAAGTTTCACAAGTTTAAAATACTAAGTCACAGCACACCATGCCTGATTGAACCAAACATTTTGAGATGAAGCTAGTCAAAATAACAAAGTGTGGCAGTGGTTAGACTGCACAACAACGTGCAGAACAAAGTGCAAACAAGACAATACTGATGACTACACAACTCTGAACTAACACAGCCGTTTGAAGAATTTGAGTCAGTTTGAGAATGTAGAGAACGTATAGTACAGTATGTGTTTGTGTGTGTAGAGAACGTATAGTACAGTATGTGTGTTTGTGTGTGTAGAGAACATATAGTACAGTATGTGTTTGTGTGTGTAAAGAACGTATAGTACAGTATGTGTGTTTGTGTGTGTAGAGAACGTATAGTACAGTATGTGTTTGTGTGTGTAGAGAACGTATATTACAGTATGTGTGTTTGTGTGTGTAGAGAACGTATAGTACAGTATGTGTGTTTGTGTGTATAGAGAACGTATAGTACAGTATGTGTGTTTGTGTGTGTAGAGAACGT